TATCATGCTCTGTGTGTTCCTGCAGCTGTTCTAGTTCACTGTGCTGAAAGCTTCGTAATAGGTTTAGTGCTTTTATTCAATTTCTTACTATAAAACCTTTATTTGCAGAAGCACATCTCATAAATCAGTTATTTTTTAAAATGCAGAATCGACCACAGTGCCTCCTTTATAACTGAATATGCCATAAATTGAAATGAATAATTTCTCTTGTTTCCTTTGCCGTTCCTTTTTGTGTAATAAACAGTTACTGATTTGCACTTTTCGCTGTTCGGGCACATACGGTAATCAAGTATTCCTAAGGGAAGAGATTCATCCTTCCAGCTGCCCAGAAAAAGTAATAGAGTCAGGAAAAACTAACTTAGGATTCATTATTTTATCTTCTTCTTGTAGACCTCCACTAGCCAGGCAATCTTCTGCCTTCAGTCTGGTGTTTGTCAGCTTTTCCGAGAGACTCTTATTCGCAAGGGATTTGTGGAAATCCAGACTCCCAAAATCATTTCAGGTATTGTATATGAGATCCAGCAGCTCCAGGTGGGCTTGTTTTACACTTGCTCAGTGTTCCTCTCGGCCAGAAAGTTTTTATTTTAAAAACATGAAGTTTTATTTCTAGTTTAGATGCAGCATAGCAAACTTGTAGCAGGTGTCAGAGTTTTCTTTCCTTTTCTCCTGACTTTGGAGGTTAAAAGAAGGACAGGACAGGTATTACATATACCTCATTTATGTATTCCACAGTGCACATTAAGTTTTAATTTGGTTAAATACAGGTGTGTCTGGTCATGTACATTGTTCTTCTGTGTTCTCAGTGTTGGGCACTGACAGTTCTATTCTCAGTATCCAAAGCAAAAACCCCACTCTAATTTAGATTTAAAGCATATTCGGTCATCAAGAAATTACAATATACATATGATGGTATAAAATGTCATATATACAATATGTCACTTCTTCAGCAATGAGCTCATGGCTAAATACAGGGTGGTAGGAGACCTTTTTGGAAATGTGGCATAACAGCTTCAGCCTGACGTAAGGTCTGGAAATGCACATTTTGCTTCCAGTTCTGTTGTTGATTTGCTGTATTGTTTTCAAAAGTCAAATTGGCTTATTGGTGTTCTTTGGGGTTTTGTTGATGCCACTAAGACATTTGGCATGGAAAATCAGGGCAGAATATTTGCATGTACATTCATTAAATGAATACATTTTTCTTACTGAATTTTATACTTCTGTACTCATATTTTTGAAGACAGCTCTCGGCTGAGATAAAAAATGGGCTTTTTAACGAAATCCATGCAAGCATGTATTCTTTCAACATTGAAAGTATGTTGAAGGTTAGATAAGTTTCTTCCTACAGAGACAGTTAAAGCAGTCTGAAGCACTAAAAGCCTCCCAAGTAGTTTATTTCTGCAGCAGCTCTGAGGAAGTGTGCTATTCTTACTGTGCAGTGGGCCATTGAGAGCAGGCAAGCAAGCATCCTATTGTTTGAATGAGACCAGAGTTTGTAGCATCAACTAAGTTAAGTCAATACAATCCTCACTAAACTTCAGATTTAAATATCGTGGCTGTTCTAATGTCTGAGGTTTTAAAATTATCTCTGTTGAGAAATAACTGTTAATATTCACTAACACTGTGTCAGTGGGAGTGGTGGTGAGGAAAGAAAAGAAACATTAACCTCACTGGAATGGTCAGTAATAATCATAAGTACTTTACCTGGAGTCAGGTTAACATTAGACCTTTCAAAGGTGATGAACTGATCTTTTGCTGTGGCGTGTTTTGTTAGCAAGTTAGGCCAGTGCACCTGTCCTGTCCCAGCCTGGGGAGTGGCAGGTGCAGTGCTGCAGTTGTGGCAGGCAGTTTGCAGGAGGGACACAAATGACGTGGTCTTGGTTCCTGTGCTCTCAAGGTAACTGTCTATGAAAAGTGCCTCAAACTGAGAAAAGCTCTGTGCCTTCGGCACGAGTTCCCTGCTGAATCTGGGTTTGCCTGTGAGAGATACCAGTGCCTTCAGTTAGAGAGGGTGCTCCTGGCAAAACAGGATGTGCAGGTTGAGCTCAGGCTCTGCAGTAACCCCTGGCAGGCTGTGTCACCCACAGAACGTTGGGCTGCAGGTAGATGGGGTGGTGCAAACACTCCGAGGTGAAGGGCAGCTGGGAACTGTAACATTTTAAACCACCCCAACTAAACTGTCGGGTTTGCAAGACAAGGTGTGAGAGTCCTGAGCTGCAAGATTGCCCTTGGCACGAATGCATGCAAATATATCTTTGTCCTCTAATATGCTTTGAAGAAAAATCTCTGATCTCTAGATGTCGGCCCAATTATCTCTCGTTCTACCTCTGATTTATTTTGTACGTTTTTATTTTAATAACTCCTTATAAAAGCATTTGCATTTCAGCTGCCAGTGAAGGAGGAGCCAATGTGTTCACTGTGTCCTACTTCAAAACCAGTGCCTACCTGGCTCAGTCCCCGCAGCTGTACAAGCAGATGTGTATATGTGCTGACTTCGACAAGGTGTTCTGCGTGGGGCCGGGTAAGAAAAGCTTTGCTTTAACACACGTGTGAAGTGGGCCCTGATGGCTTTTAGCAGCTGCAGCACTAATGAGAAAACAGGCACACTGAGAGCTTTGAATGGTTTCACTTAACACAGTTTCACTTACCAAGCACAAATTGCACTTGAGGTGACGAATGAGGGTAAGGTTGGCCGAGAAGTTGCTGGAACAAAACTAAAATGGTGAAATATGGGTGGAATACTCTTCTCCAGTGCCTGCGGTGGTGTGAGGGGGAAAAATAAGAGTTGTATTGGAAATGGGTAATGTGATGAAGTTAGTAAAACATGGAACAACACCATAACTGCAGCTATAGCTTCCTATTCACCGTGCCCCTTTACTGCCCAGTACCAACCAGTTCAAACAGGCAGCCTAGCTTTGAGGTGGCATATTAACATTATCCCTTGCTTTTCTACATGTGCCAAACAACATTATTTTGAACGTGCTTACTTTTAACTGGCCTATCAATAAAGAATAAAAAATTACTAATTTCAGTCCCATTCTCTCTGTCTCCAAAGCATGGACTCTTTAAGTGGTAATACAAATCTTTGTTCTAAGACCTTAACCTGTAAATGCTGAAAAACAAGTCAATAACAGCTTATAGAATAAAAAAAAAATTCCAAGTAATCCAGAAGATCTTAAATTTCTTGTTAATTACTAACCCAATGAGTCATGGTTTATAGGAAGATGTTTTTATATCACTCATATCTGAAAAAAAACCAAAACATGCCAGAAGACACACACGTGTACAAGTCCACTTCCTTTGAAAAGGGCTGTTTTCAAGTCTGGAAGTTCTTGCCTGCCTCAAAGTTTGTCTGTTTGTCTGTTTTTCCAAGTGGAATGATAACTTCAGGTCAGTTAGAACTTGTGCTGTTTGATTTTGCAGTGTTCCGAGCTGAGGACTCCAACACACACAGACACCTGACTGAGTTTGTTGGCCTGGATATTGAAATGGCCTTTAACTATCACTATCATGAGGTGGTGGATGAGATTGCAGATACCTTGGTGCAGATATTCAAGGGGCTTCAGGAAAGGTAATAAGAGCATTTCCTTCTTTTAATGAGCAGCTTTCTTTGACAGCTCTTGCACTGTGCTATGAAGTGGGTGAGCGTTTTGTCTTCAGCTTGTCAGATAATCATTGATAATCTGATCTAATCTACAACAGAACTTCAAAACAAGCATTTTTGCTTTGCTCTTAACTATTTTTTTTTCATGTCTGACTTAAATTTCACTCAAGCCACAGGCCAGTAAAGTACTTTTAGCATCTGCTGGAGTGTGCTGGCTTGCACTGACAAACTTGCTGTTTGCTGTTGGAAGGACTTTCTAACAGAAATGATCCATCATTATTTAAAATGTCTTTCTTTTTATGGCACTACAGGTAGTAGGTAGAACAACAGATTGTCCAGTTTTGGAAATGATCTTGTTCTGTTTTGAAAATCATCTTAATATTTATTATACAAAAAAGTTTTCCTGACTAAAAATCACTGGACCAGCCTGCATCTGTTCCATGATAGCAGCAAAGATTGTTTTCCACTATTCACAGTCTTAACTAATTAAAAAGCCAGATCAAAAGTTTAGGAAGTGGCTTTCATTTGTTTACAAGTTAGACTGTCTTGCCAGCAGAAATGCAAATACATTCTTCAGTCCAGAAGGAAATTTCTTGTTTATATTTGAAATAGGATATTACTCAAATAAAAGAAGAACCCGGGTAAATATTACAAACCAAAGGGATGATTTCTCAATGTCTTCCCTGTGAAAATTTGACCTAGTCAATTATTTCTTACAAAAGGATTTAAAAAGAACTAATAATGAAATATTAACATGCATATGTGTGAAGTAGGTGCTTTAACCTTGCTGAAACGTTTCATTAGGGTTGTACAGAATTTCTCCAGAAGTGCCTTTAATACAGTTTTTATGCTGCAAGAGGGACCTCTTGTGGCAAAATGTCTCGTCATTGCAACATTTGATCAGCTGCAAGTTCCTGATTGTCCTGTGTTTGGCTTCTCTTCTTGTTTCCTCACGTACAGATTCCAGACTGAAATCCAGACAGTGGGCAAACAGTTCCCGTGTGAGCCATTCAAGTTCTTGGAGCCCACCCTGAGGCTGGAATACCAGGAAGGGGTTGCCATGCTGCGGGAGGCTGGAGTTGAGATGGGGGATGAGGAGGATCTCAGGTACTTTGGCAGTGCCCAAATGGGAAGGTGGCAGTCAAGTGTCACTTTTGTCCTGTGCCCCTGACAGCCCCTAAGAAGGAAGCACAGCTTTTAAAGGGATAAACACTTCTTAGATCCAGACCTCTTGACAACTAAATGAGTGGGTGTGAAAATACTCCTTTCTTTTGACACAGACTGTAGGTACAAACTCTGAAATCTGAAAGAAAATAACTTACAACATAAAGTGAGAGCAACTTGAAACTTCTAAGGATAAGAAGTGTTTGTTTGTCTGTGAGTTGGAGCCCTTCATGTGAACTGTCACATGTTTTTGAATAGGATTAAACAAAAAGATTCTTCAGTCTCAAGGTCTTTCATTTAAGGAACATCTTTCCATTTCTTCCTTCTACCTCTCAGGAAAGTCATTAAGCAATTTTGATGCATTCCCATTGATCTGCTGAAGGATGATTTAATTAACTGATTATGTGCAAACTTTTCTAAATACACCTAATGAATCAAAACATTTCTTTCCCATAGTATATCCAGTACCCCTAGGATAGTGTGTTATTTTACAGTTAAACTCTCTGTGCATCCAAGAAAGCTTCAGTCATAAGAGTTTGATAGAGCAAAATAATTTCCTCAGCAACTGCTCATGGTGTTTCTCACTTACTTTGTTGTACACAAGATTTATGGCAATAGGAAATAGAAAACACAGTTCTTCAGTAATCAAAATATGGTGACTAGGAAGTAGTTCTATTAAGAGCGAGAATATCTTCAGGTGTTAGTTAATTTAGGGGATTTTTAGGACCAATACAAAATATTTAGAAACAAATAAATATACTTTATTTCTGCAATTTCTGTCTGCACAAACCAAAACACTCAGAAAGAAGTACTAGATTTTCTGAGGGTCGGAGTGCAGCAGATCTGTAGCTTGAAATCTTTATGAAGTATGTAACCAGTACATGTTTAAATCAATTTTAAATGGTGATGATCTTTTTCAGCACTCCTAATGAAAAGCTCCTGGGACGCCTGGTAAAGGAAAAGGTAACAATTACTTCAGAATAAATAAATTTGTTGTTGAATCTCAGACCTGATCCATGGAATCAGTGGGCTGGTATAAATGCCTCCATGTAAAACAACTTTTTACACACTGATGGACAATAGATTATCTCAGAACGTGCAGAAGTTGTGAAGAGTTTGTGATTACCATTTTTAATTGTCTGACTGCATCTCCATTTTGGTGCTGTGTATTTAATCTACTCTCAGTTTTGCCTTTATCGTTATTAAACTGTTTCACACCATTTGCAATCTTTTATATTTATTTCTGTCATATTATACTGAGTACACCAAACACGATAGTCTGTTCCAAAACCCATTTTTGTGATTGAAAAAAAAAACAACCAAACCCAAACCAGATTCTGACTAAATTTACAGGAAAACATGAGATGTTTGGGGGAAAAAAAAAAAGTACCTGTTACTACAGCAACACATTTTATTGCTAAACATTTTTAAGTTTACACTAGAAGTAGTATTGGAAAATTGAGACATAATACACCACTTTTATTGATAACTTATTTTTTAAGACAATATTGTGGAAAGTTATTGAGAGATTTGTTTGAATTTTGTTTCAAAGATTTACTGGTTGTGTCTTCCTCTTGTAATTTGTTCTGTATGTAATTTTCTCTTGCTTTAAATTATCTTCTTTCAGTACGACACAGACTTCTACATTTTGGACAAATACCCTCTTGCTGTGAGGCCTTTTTATACAATGCCAGATCCAGCCAACCCTGTAAGTGAAATTCCTTGTTGCTGTCAGTGTGTTTCTCTTCTTTTCCGTTTAAATTATGCTGTGTAAGGATAACTTGACAACAAAGTGTATTTATATGATCATAGAATCATAGAATGGTTTTAGTTGGAAGGGACCTTAAAGATGAGCTGGTTCCAGCCCCCCTGTGATCATCTGTTACAATTAACATTCTGGTGACAAGATCAGGTCAGTGTTACATGACCTGTGACGTGATTTCAATTGCTCTTCACTGGTGCAAACCTACCAGAAAGATTGGGAGAGCTTTTGGAAGAGATCTCCATGGTTAAACACTGTTACCATCACTGAAAAGTGGCATAAACATTCTTCCAGAGCAGCAGACACTTTAACATAAAAGATGATTTTTTTTACATTTCCACAGTTTATTCCTAAATCCAGGATAAATATGTTCAGAGCAGCTTTTGCTGGGATAACTACATACAAGTGTAATGGTTTTCCAAAGGGCATGTGGATGAACTTCAGTTTATTAAATCAGCTCCAAGGAGTGTAATTCCTGGGCAGGCCCCCAATATATTGTGCTCTTACTGCACAGCTTTGGATATCACAAGTGAAGATAAGAGAGGTGCATCTTTGCCACCTGTGGAGTCTCTGTGGGTAGGAAATGAAATGAACTCATCTTTGTTTTTCCAGAAAAGCTCGAACTCTTACGATATGTTCATGAGAGGGGAGGAGATCCTGTCTGGAGCTCAGAGAATTCACGACCCTCAGCTGCTGACAGAGAGAGCCAAACATCATGGCATTGGTAAGAGGCCCATTTAACAGAATATCAGTGTCATGATTGGATTTGTGTCCTCTAGAGGAAGAATCTGGGATGGAGTTTCTTACATGGCCATGGTGGTAAACTCACAGTACTACCTCATTCTTAATCCATCTAATTCTGTTTAACCATCCATAGTGGTGATATTAAGAAATTAGTTTGTTTCCCAGCAACTCCTTGTTGAAAAGTTATAAACAAAATTGTGAACCAAATCTGTTACAGTCATAATTTCTAGATAGTCCTGGATAATTTATACATTCAAGGAGGAAAACCCCACTGTTAGTTTGTAAATTTTTTGTTGTGTTTGCAGTCCTGTAGCCACTTGTGTGTCTGGCTTGGGGTTCATTAAGCAGGTGAGGAACACATATTTTTCCTTTCTAGATTTGGAGAAGATAAAGGCTTACATTGATTCCTTCCGGTTTGGTGCCCCTCCACACGCAGGAGGTGGAATAGGTGAGTGTCTGTATTTTAGTTGGTTCTGTATTAGCTTAACTTGCACTGCTCAGTCTCAGGCAGAGTCCAGTATAAAATTCTGGGTTCTGGCTGTTCCAGGTGAAAATCTTCATATAGGAAGGCAGTGTGTGGAAAAAGTAGGGTGCATCTGGGTTTCACCTCAGCATGGCTGGGGTGCTTACACAGCCCCACGGATTAGGAAGTGCTTCCACAACAACCAGTGAAATACTTACTACCAGAAAGATATCAGCAGATAGTTACACAGGTGTGTGGTGTGAATCTACATTTTTGTACTGCTGAGGATTTGGGATGAAATTCCCCGGGTGCAGGGTTTCACTGGGGCTGCTCAGGCACTTGGTGTCCCTTACTCTGCAGCTGTTAAGGCTGGTTTGGACTGTACTTGTGTTGCTGTATCCAGGATACAGTTCTCCTGATGACCCACCTCTGCTCCCAATTTCCTACACCTTTCTTGAAGTCCCGAAGTGATTCAGAGCAGGCTTGAGTCTGCAGTGCCATTGCTTGTCAGAACCTGTTCCAGAAGGTGTCTGTGCCATGGCAGAAGGCACGGCTGTAAATCCCTCGTTTTTGGTTTGGCTCCTTCCCACAGTCACACACGCTGATGTGAACACCTCACTCTCCACTCAGTGAGGCTGGTGGGAAGTACCTGTAGCTTCTTAAGAGTTTTGAACACAAGCCTGACTGCACTGCTGGGTTGTTTTTACCTGTTCTAGGGCTGGAAAGAGTGACCATGTTGTTCCTGGGGCTGCACAATGTCCGTCAGACCTCCATGTTCCCACGGGATCCCAAGCGACTGACACCCTGACAGGAGCTGCTGCTCGACGTAGGAGAAGATCTGCCCTGCAGACAGAGCTGATTGCAAGGATATCCCCTGCTCCTCATGAACCTGTACTGATTTGAGCATTATGATATGCAATTAAAAACAAATTCTCCTTTATAAAGTGCCACATTTTTTTTATCCGTAGTTGTTTATTTGAAGAAAAATATTTTAACAGATCAGGACTCTTTGTATTGGCAACCGTGCACATTTTTAATTGAAATGTGATACTTTGAGTTAGTATTCTGGTGTCACATTAAATTGTATCATTTTTCTAAACATTTTAATAAATTATGCAATAACCATTTTGCATTTTTAACTTATGTCAGCAAGATTGAATACTCTGAAGTACGGGCTCAAAGATAAAGAGACTGGATTCTTGCAATTTAAAAATCAGGAGGAGACCAGCCAGCTGTTAACTTACAGGAGTGTCAGGTAGGAAGCAGGTGAGAAGAACATTCTTAACAAGAAGCCTTCGTTTGAGATTGTGAAAATAGGTTGAAATAAATCTCTCAAAGTAAATTCGATGCAAATCTGTCTTTCTGTTTTTTGCTTCGTATCCTCTCAAGATAATAATGAATCAATAAGGTTTGTTTGGGTTTTTTTAATGATGTAATAACTGTCTAAAGTTTAAATTTATTTTCTTTCTATCTTCTTCCCCCCCTTTTTTTTTGAAAGTTGCCTACAAGCTGTAGACTTTTTCTTTATTTTATGTTACTATTTGAGAATGGATAGAAATTTACACTTGCTCCCAGAATACACAAAGGATATATAACATTCTCAGAAAATAAATGGACAGTGAATTTGAGAGCAGGTCATGTGTTCTCGTGCCTGACCCAGCCTCTGGAATAACAGACAAAACAAATCACCAAGGATTCCATGCATCTTATTACCAATGAAAAAAAAAGGAAAGTATGTAAGCCAGCCTATTTCGGGTTTGTTGCTTATTTTTTTATTTTATTTCTAAATGCTGCCCACAGCCCAACTGTTGTACATTTAGAGAAATTGTGTGTTTCTCTAATAGTGCTTCTGAAAATCTTTCTAGACATCCTTTTTCTCAAACAGATCACTTACTTGAACCTCCTCAATTTGCAGTGATGCCTCAAGCTGCTTCTGCTCATCCTCCCCCTGCCAGCCCAGAGGATGTGCCCTGCATTTGGAGAGGAACCAGTGCATTGGGAACTTCCTTGTGTGGGCTGCAGCTGAGAGCTGTTTTTCAAATTTCAAACACTTCTGTAAGTGTTGATGCCAAAGAACAAAGGATTAAATTCCTTACTCGGGTCCTGCAGTAGAATTGTCTAATATTCCTATGTATTTGTAGTTCCTGAGTTAATTTTTGTTTAACATTTTCCATGATGAAGCTTTCAGTGGGAGGTATGGTTTAGACTGACTGTGGTGGTGTTGCTACCTTGATTTTTAAATGTCAGAGAAGTCACATCTTGGCTGTGCTACAGAAAGGTCAGTGAGGCTGTGTATAAATTGTGTAGAGTTTCACAAAAGGGCAAACCATCTTTTGCACCTGCCATTGAACGAGACTTAATTTTAATGTCTTGTGACAAGAGTTCTCCATTAGAAAACAATCAGACTAAAGGTCAGTCAGGTAAAGTACTGCAAATGTAGAAGTTAAACTTTGTTTAGAAGTCACATAATTCAAGGAATAACACTTTGCAGCTTTGCTTATGAGTCTGTTGTAATTAATTTACTGTGGAATCTTCCCCAGTTATTAACTTGAAAATCTTACAGTGTACCCAGTTGTACTTTGCAAAGCTGAGTGGGTTATAAACACAGCTCATCATCACGGACTTATTACTGAATGAATCCAAGTTTCAAAACAGTTGTTTATTCAGCTAAGCCAACTGGAATGAATTTAATTTAATTACTTTTGTTCGTACAGAACTGGTAATATATTCCACTTCAGAAGCGCATCCTTCTAATCAGGAGCAAAATTACTGACTTAAATTGCCTGCCAACAAAAAAAGCATTCTGAGGACTGTTTCTTGCTCTAGATTTGGCAGCAAATTTTGTGCATACATTCCTGTAACTACTGTGCTCATCCCAGAGTCATTCAGGCTCCTGCTGGAGTTTGATTTATTCACAGGAGCTGCACAAGAACAAGAGTTGGGATGGAGGCCCCGATTCCTTTGTATGCAGAATCTTCGCACGCAGTCTCTCTTGGCTAACAGAAAATAATTATGATCATAAATCAAAGTGCATTTGTCCCGAGTGTCCTGTTAGCAGGATACTTTAGTGAGAGCTGCACTCTCACTTTAGTGGGAGTCTTAGAACTTCGTTTGAAACCTTGCAAATTGAAATTTCGGAACTTTATGTTGCTTGGATAGGCAGCAACTCTGAAAAAGTAAAACCTGTATTGTCCTTTATTTCCAGTAACTTGCAGGAAGTTCAGCAGTTTATGTGGAGTCCCCATTGCTGCTGCCTCTCCACCAGGTAAACTGGAGTTTGTTGTATTTTCTTTGTTTCTTGTCTTTTCTTTGGGATATACAGAAGTTAATTACAACAGTGCATTACTTGAACTAAGGAGCTATAAAGAACATTGGTAAGGAATAGCCAGGGAGTCATCTGCTCAAAACAAACACAAAGCTTCAGTTTGGTTCAGAAGTCTTTAACTACACCATTTTCCTGTGAAAACCCATCTGTGTTCTCTGAGCTGTCTGACTCTGCCCAGCAGGAAGGGGGGCTCAGGCTGCTCTTTTGGCAGCCGAGTGCAGGACTGGTTCCCGTGGCTGCCCACACCTGCTGGGATAATCCTGGTGGGCAGCTCAGCACCACACAGCTGCCTGCTCCTGCCCTGAGGGACAGGGGCAAAGAAAAGCAGGAAAACTTGGTGCTTCCAGGCTGTGCCTGGCAGTTCCAGGTGTACTGGACACCCCTCCATGTGAAAGCAAACTGTGACCTGCACTCTGCTGCCAAAGGGATGGAGGAGAACACATTGACGGTGCCCTTTGTGGAACACCATGTGGCTGCCTGGGACTCCAGCTCATACTGGGCTTCCAGCATCTCCCATATGGTGGAATGATTTGGCTCAGGCCACAGGAGTGCACAGTTACCCTCCATCCCATTCCCCATGCATGTTCCTGCTGGGCAAAGAGCCTGGAAAAATGAGATTGTTGAAAAACTTTTTTTCTGGACAGACACCTCTAGAGTACACAACTTGCCCAAGCAGATTTTAATTATTTACTGTTCTTCTTTGGATATTCTACTTATCTGCTTATGGAGGCTGTAGATTTTTTAAATTATTTTGGTAGAGAAAAATGATGAAAAAACCAGTAGAAATTACCTGAGATTAATTGTTTTTTTTAAAATAAGCCTCACAATCAACTTGTGCGCATTGGTATGATTTCATTAAACATGGCATTTATTCACTGCAAGTGTTTTAAAAAGTTACCAGGTTAGTTCTGCTAGTTTCTTATTTTCTTTACCATTTTGCAGTTCAGTCTCTGCTGCCTGTATGGCAAGTGCACTGTAAGGAACTAACACTGCAGCAGGAGGCTGCTGCTGCTGGCACTTCTTAAAGGGCTTCAGAACTGAGAAGGAGCCCTTAGCTGCCTTAATTACAGCAAAATTCCCACTTTAGGCAGAGATTAATGACTTTGCAGGTGGCAGAGCAATTCTAAGCAGTTTCTCCTGGATGTTGAAGTGGTTCCTGCTGGCAGGCACCGTGTGCCAGCAGCTGCCATTCGGGAATGGCTGTCAGCCATGGCGCCGCTTGGCACATGTTACCATCGACCAGCCTGTGTTGCCAGCAAGGAGCCAAGTGTCCAGACTGCAGCCTGCCCCTCACCTGGCTTAATTTACACCCTTTTTGCCTGGGGTCAGTCCTTCAGCAGCCGGAGCTGCAGCCTCCAGAGTCTGGTCAGTGAGCAGCTGCCCCAGTGCTTCCTGCACACACCAAGGGGATTCCCTGGATCTGGGCTTCCTCAGCAGTGCCCTGGGACTACCAGAGTTTTATCTCCAGTTACTGTAGCTGACTTCTTTTCTGGGAAACTGATTGCCCTGTGGAGGCTTCACAGCAGCTGAAGACCATGCTGGAGCAGCCCACAGCTGACACCTCCATGCCTGTGGTTCTGGGGTCCCCAACGTAAGAAAGATGAGGAACTGCTGGAGCAAGTCCAGAGGAGAGCCATGAAGTTGGTAAGAGGACTATGAAGACAGGCTGAGAGAGTTAGTGCTGTTCAGCCTGGGGAAGAGAAGATTGTGTGGAGACCCCACAGCACCCTCCAGTATTTGAAGGGGGCCTAGTGAGAGGACAAGGAGTAACAGGTATGAACCGAAAGAGGGGAAAATTTAGGTTAGATGTTATGAAGAAATTCTTTACTGTGAGGGTGGTGAGGCCCTGTCACAAGTTACTGAGGGAGGCTACGATATCGAAGGCAGGCTGGATAAGGTTTGAGTAACCTGGTCTAATGGGAGGTGTTCCTGCCCAGGGCAGGGAGGGTTGGGTCTGGATGGGCTTTAAGGTCCGTTCCAAGCCCCTGACACTCAGCAGCGTTGTGTTTCTATGAGAGGCGTTGCTTTGGCACAGCTGTAAGCCCTGGACAGGCCCCGTTCTCTGTGCCAGCCCAGCAGCGGGAGGGGATGGGGTCGCTGTGCCCGGAGCATCCGAGTCATCCCCTCACGGTCCCGCCCCCGGCCTTTGGCGCGAAAACGGCCGCTGGGGGCGGGGCCCCGGGGGATGGCGGCCGCCGATTGGGCGGCGCGGCGGGCGCGCGGCCCACGTGGTTTGCGGCGTGGCGGGAACCGGGTCGGGGCCGGACCGGGCAGGGACAGCGTCAGTGTCGGCAGCCGGGATGGATTTGGCGGTGGCGGCGGCCGGGGCCGGGGGAGCGGCGCAGCAGCACCAGCAGCTCCGCGATGAGGTGGCCGAGAAGTGCCAGAAGTTGTTCCTGGACTTCCTAGAGGAGTGAGTGCCGGGGCCGGGCCTGGCGGGGAGGGCAGGGCGAGCGGCGGGCCGCGGGCGCCTCACGGAGGGGCCGCCATTTAGTGAGATCCTGCCAGGGCCTGGCGCCCCTGCCCCTCGGCCTTCGGTCGGAAAAGCTCTCCTGTGGTCTGAGGAACGGCTCTGCCCGGAGGAGTCTGCTTTGCCAGGGGTATAGGAAGGGAGCAGTGTGCTTCTGCGGTTGGCAAAATACTTCTCAGAGAGCTCTCGCGGCGAGTTTCTGTTTCGCGGGGACGTTTCCCAGAGAAGTTGTGGCTGCCGCATCCCTGCAAGTGTCCAAAGCCAGGCTGGACGGGGCTGGGAGCAAGCAGGTCTACTGGAAGGTGTCTCTGCCCATGGCAGCGGTTTGGAACGAGGTGGTGTTTGAGGTCCCTTCCAACCCAACCCATTCTATGATTTTTTGGTGCATTTGGTCCCTTTTAACGAAGTTTTGTGGAAGCCGTGTTGAAAACCCTTTCCACGGCTTGGCTGTTAAACATCTTGCTTCCTGCGTTTTGACTCCCGAGGGGGCCCGTCCGTGTCAAATAAGGATACCATTATAATCACCCTGAGGAAACAAAACCCTGCTTGCCGGTGTCGAGTCATTGTTTAACATGAAATAAAACTCAGTGTGGCACTCGGAACAACACTCGTGCTGTATGAGATTCAAACCAGGTTCGTCTGTGCTGGGGTGTTGATAGAACAGATGCAGAAGGGGGTGGAAGAAGAAATATTGTTGGAAAAGGGCTTTGCAAGGGGCTGTGGGATGCATTAGTATGAGCGATGCTTTCCTTTGCCTTCCCCCTGAATTCAGAGTATTCAGTTGCTGCCTGGTGCTGACTGTGAGATGTTTTCCTGAATGCCTCTCAGGTTCCAGAACAGCGATGGGGAGGTGAAGTACCTGCGTGACGCTGAAGAGCTGATCCGGCCGGAGCGGAACACGCTGATCGTCAGCTTTGCGGATTTGGAGCAGTTCAACCAGCAGCTCTCCACCACCATCCAGGAGGAATTTTACAGGTAAAGTGCAGAGGTCCATTTTGAGGTAACACTGAGCCCTGCTGCAGTTTCAGGCCCATAATGCCTCGCTCCTTATGTAAACAATGAGAGGTTCATCTTTCTACATCCTGAAAACGCTTAAATTTAATTTTTTTTTTTTTTTTTTTTTTACTGGCTCAAAACATTTCTCAGTGGATTCCTCTCTGGAAACCACGAGCTAACCGGGAAATGATATTCTGGTGAAGAAGTCATTCCCATCTGGTCAGTATGGGAATACAGAATAAACTCTAAAATTTCACGCTCTGAAAATATTTTATTGAGCCAGTTGCTTATTTTGAAGATCTGCTTCTTAATGTAAGGATAAAAGTGTCATAAAATGAGATTTAAAAAAGTCTATTATGAAGCTGTAATGCAAATGACATTATTCTGCAGTAATCTCATATTTAGTGTATTTGGATTTGGGTTTTTGTCTTACATAACATTCAAAGCCCGAATCTGGTAATCTGATACAGCCTTTGCTGTAGTCTGAAGCAGAGAAGGCTTTAATAGCTTCTGTAAAATTTGAAGTGCTTTTCCATATTTCAGGGTTTATCCTTACCTCTGTCGAGCAACAAAGACTTTTGCCAGAGACCATGGGAATGTTCCCTCAAACAAGGACTTCTATGTTGCATTCCAAGACCTGCCTACCCGACACAAGTAAGATGATTAATAATTCCAGAAACTTGTACTTTTTTACTGCTGGGGAAAAACGTGTCAAACCACACTGAAAATGTTTTGATTGTATAGTGTGAAATGAGCAGTTGACCAGAACAGTTGTGAAGAAGTTTCCTGACCTTGTGCAGGGTATTTTTTGAAACAGTTTTTCATTGGCAAACCACAATCAGATACTTATGTTCATTATATTCCACAAATATAGAGCTTTTCTAATTTAAATAATGTAACTTCTCTAATTTAAAAAAAATTATTTAGCGTGTGTAGCTTTTGAAGTACCAGTAGTTTTGCATTGGTTTGACCTTTAGTATTAATCTAAAAGTTTATGTAAAAATGAGAATATATTTCAGTAACTTTGTTTCCTTTGTCTGTTACTGCCGTTCTTTAGTCACGGGCTGAGTGAAACCGTGTTGTATCTTAGTATCTTGGGGCCTAGAATTGTCAGCTCAGCAATTTAATCCCTGTGAGTTTCTGTTTTGCCCAGAATTCGGGAGATGACCTCGGCGAAGATCGGCTCCCTGATGCGCATCAGTGGGCAGGTGGTTCGGACCCACCCCGTGCACCCGGAGCTGGTGAGTGGGACCTTCCTGTGCCTCGACTGCCAGACAGTCATCAAAGACGTGGAGCAGCAGTTCAAATACACACAGCCCAACATCTGCAGGAACCCAGTCTGTGCCAACAGGAGGAGATTCCTGCTGGACACGAACAAATCAAGATTTGTTGATTTCCAAAAGGTACGAGGGTGAGGCTGGGGGTGATGACTAACAGTGGTGTACCTGTGGTAGTTGGAGGGTGTTGTTTGTTCAGTGTAGTTGTTCTATACCAGTATAAAAAGAGATGCCTTCTAGTATCTGCAATGCTTTTTCTTCCCCACTGATATTTACTCTTGAGTGTCTCCAAGACTCCTCAGATGCTGATTAGTGAAGGGGTTTTTTGGTTGTCTTACTGCAAGAGGAGCTTCATGGCTGACATGGATGGCAGCAGTCGGATGCTACTGTGCTAATAAAGAATTAGCCCGGCTTTTGAGTCAGTTAGAGCTGTGGTGACACTTGCTGAGTGTTTATCCCTGCTCGGTGCCCAGGTCCGCATCCAGGAGACGCAGGGGGAGCTGCCGCGGGGCAGCATTCCCCGCAGTGTGGAGGTGATCCTGCGCGCCGAGGCCGTGGAGTCCGCCCAGGCGGGTGATAAGTGTGACTTCACCGGCTCGCTCATCGTCGTGCCTGACGTGTCCCAGCTCTCCACTCCAGGTTTGTTGCTACTGCTCAGGACCTCGGTGAGGTGTCCTTCCCGCTTGTCCCGGTCCCTGCTGTCCTGACCGCCGCTCTCCCGGCAGGGCTGCGTGCCGAGACCGGCTCCCGGCTGACGGGGACGGAGGGCTACGAAACCGAGGGGATCCGAGGGCTGCGCGCCCTGGGGGTCCGGGAACTCTCCTACAAACTGGTGTTTCTGGCTTGTTACGTTGCACCAACAAATCCACGGGTGAGTCTGGAAAGAGAGGAGATTTAAAGGTGTTCCTGATTGCTGCTCTCTGTGGTTTTCCCTCAAATCGGGGAGCGGGAATGGATGCTGTGTGCACTGGGCTGTCTTTAAGTTCTGACTGAATTTGTATAGCAAGGTTCTCGTCTTCAGATGTGATAATTTATCAGTGTTATCAATTTATTCTAAAGAGCTGACTGATCCACGTATTTCCATTCAGCTTTCATCCATTTCTGCAGCATTTCCTTTCCTTCCAGGAAATCCTATTGCTTCTTGTTCCCTCTGGTTTATCACATGGTATCTTGGGTTGCTACTGCAACATAATGAGCAATACTGACTGTGTCTGGGTTTTGGCACGTTGTGGTATCGTAATCTATCACTCTGTTAGGAGTTTCACTGTCACACAGGATAAAAATACCATCTGTTACTTTCTGGAAATAGAAGTTTCTGACCCCATTTCAGAGTAACAAAAGGCCTTGTGAAGTTCCAATTAATGAAGAATGCTGAGAAAGGCAAATTTACCCAGAGGAAGCCATACTGGGGTACTCTTTTTTAATCTCTGTATAAACATCTCACCTGGGGTTTTTCTCACTAACTGAAGTTACACAACTGATTTTGCCTGTTAGGAAATTGTCTGTGGGGTTTTAAAGGTATAAGATGATGAGCCTACTTAGCCTAAGGACAGCTTTTCTGAATATGTTCCTCCCATCCTGCTTCCAGTGAGTTTTTGTAACCTGTCTGCAGTGCTCACATTCATTTAGTGACCATGTTATAACTTCTATAATTGTTTTATTTCCTTTGTTTAGTTTGGTGGAAAAGAGCTCAGAGATGAAGAACAGACTGCAGAGAGCATTAAAAACCAGATGTCTGTGAAAGAGTGGGAAAAGGTTTTTGAGATGAGCCAAGACAAGAACCTTTACCATAACCTGTGCACCAGCCTCTTCCCCACTATCCATGGTAAGAACCCAGCTGAAGATTTACCTTGTGTAAATGTGAGTTCCTTTCGCTCTCTGTGTGGTGCCATTCTGGGGAAGGTTGAAAGCCCTGTTTCAAGGGCCATAAACCGTGCCCTCCAGCACTGGTTGTGCTAGAAAAGGAGAATCTACTTCGTGAGTATTTGCTGTGTTTAATCATTAAGACCTGCGACACTAGTGAAATAGGTTGGGCTTGCTATTGGTGCTCTGCTACTGAACCTTACAGCTGACAGTTGGATCTATTTTAAATAATTTTATTATTATTATTTTTAAATAGGAAGAATGTGGTGTTTTCCTTGGCTTTTTAGCTGAGTGTCTTTTCTGTGGCAGGTAATGACGAAGTGAAACGTGGGGTCCTGCTGATGCTTTTTGGAGGAGTTCCTAAAACCACTTCAGAGGGCACTTCACTGCGTGGGGACATCAATGTTTGTGTTGTTGGTGATCCAAGTACAGCCAAGAGTCAATTTCTAAAGTAAGCATCTCATTAAAACTCAGTATTTAAATATTGTCCAGGGTGACTGGAGCTACAGCCTTTTTCTGTGTTAAACAGAGGAAAGGGAAGTAAAATATTTAAAAATATTTGCCAGGGATTGTTTAGATGTGGTTGGAATATTTGAACAGGGCTGGAGCAAACTCACCAGGCCCCCGTGGTGTTAAAGAATGGGTTGAGACCTTTTTTTGTTCTTTACTTACCAAAGTACGAATTTCCAAATATTTTCAAAAAGACATTGAATATTAAAAATACAAATTTATCGAACTTTTTAAAAACTCAGAGGTAAGTGAAATACTGCGGGGGGGGGTGTTACTTCTTCTTCCCACAGGCACGTGGATGAGTTCAGCCCCCGTGCTGTTTACACCAGCGGCAAAGCCTCCAGCGCCGCGGGTCTGACGGCGGCTGTTGTGAAGGATGAGGAGTCCCACGAGTTTGTCATCGAAGCTGGAGCCCTGATGCTGGCGGATAACGTGAGTTCCTGCATCCCCAGAATGCTTTTCATTAGTGACAAAGAGCCCCCAGTTGTGTTGGTGGTGCTCTTTTTCCCAACAGTGATTGAATGTGGGTCACTTATTATTTTTCGTTCCTCCGCTGCAGGGGGTTTGTTGCATTGATGAGTTCGACAAGATGGATGTGCGGGATCAGGTGGCCATCCATGAGGCCATGGAGCAGCAGACCATATCCATCACCAAAGCAGGAGTGAAGGTAGCTTGCACTGGTCCTCTGTGTAGCCTGTAGGATCACCTGTCTGCTTGTTACGTGTGCTGAACTATCACCTGTCAGATTTTGGCACCAGCTCTGCAGCCACCTCCCTGTGGCAGCACAGAGATCACTCACTGCAGGGTTCTTGTGCCACCTACCCCAAACAGATCCAGAATGTGACTGAAAGGAAAAAACGTAGCAGTGGACAGGAAACAGAAAATGGGCAAATTCTAACCTTGCAGTAACCCCAAAAACGTTGTAGACTTGTGTGTGTTTGTAGAAGTCGAGTGTGTGTTTGCACTGCTGAAAATGAGGTGTTGTGAAAAGCAGTTTTAAGGGCTTGTTCCAGTGTTGTTGGCAAGAGTGACAATATTACAATATTGATTCTTCAAACTGTGCCTTCAGGCAGAGAAAGGGCTGGTTAAAAGAGTCTGGCTGCTTTTGAGGAGTGATTGTTACAATACCTCCATTGAGGTATTATCTATCTATTGTATCCAACAGATGTTATGCCGACCCATTCGGATTGCAACGAGTTGGTTTAGGAAGTGATCACAGATACCATTCTCTCTTCAATTTGTTCCTCCCCATTTCCAGGCCACCCTGAACGCCAGGACCTCCATTTTGGCTGCAGCAAACCCGGTTGGTGGGCGCTACGACAGATCCAAGTCCCTCAAACAGAATATAAACCTCTCGGCTCCCATCATGTCTCGCTTTGATCTCTTCTTCATCCTTGTGGATGAGTGTAATGAGGTAACTTTAAGAAATTGTAGATGAAATTGTGTCAGAAAATATCTCCTGGAAGTCTCTGGTCTGACCTCACGCTCCCACAGATTATTGGGAACAGGTTGCCGAGACCTTGACCAGGTGAGTTTTGAGCATTTCCAAGGATGGAGATTCTACAGTCTCTCTAGGCCCCTACTGCAATGCTTGACAGCTCTCACGTGTTCAAAAAATAGTAACTTTTATATCTAATCAGAATTTCTCATGATTCAGTTTGTGTTGGTTGCCTCTTTTCTATGAGTTATTTGGCTCCATCACCTCTGTACTGGCCAATGAGGCGGTTCCTTTCTTTCAAGCTGAACAGACCCAGCTCTTTTGGCCTCTCCCACATCGTGTCCTCCTGGCCTCTGACCATCTTGGTGGCCCTCTGCAGTTTTAGGTGGAGCAGATCTCGTAAGAACATCTTGCTTCTGCTTCTGTGCTCTGTGAGTGCAGCTGAAAGCTGGCAGCACCAGTGTGGGCATGCTCTGCTGAACACAAGGACACCCTGTCGTGGTTTGACCTGCAAACTTAACCACCATTACTCATTTTTCCAAATGGCTGGTGGCTGAGGCTGAGGCTGCTGCCACCTGTCTTTGTGGCATTTGCCTTGGGAATGTGGGAGATGCAGAGATTAATGCTGGTTCAGTGCTGCTCTCGCCACTGCTCTGCTCAGGGTGATTATCTAGTTGGGAAGGGACTGGTGAGAGAGGCAGAGCAGGCTGAAAAGGAAGAAAGCAGTTCCCACGCTGCAAAGGGCTGCTTTCTGCCTCTTCTCTGCCTGACTTGTAAGCCAGGAGAGTTCCAAGAGGTTGTAAATCCTAAAACTGCCTTTTGTCCCCTCTCTGCTGCGTCTCCTTGTATTAAATAACTCCAGGGCTTTCTCCTGGGCCTTCTGGCAGAGAGTTTGGCTTCTGGAAAGACTAGCTCTGCCATGAGGATTGCAAGGGAGCGGGAAGGAAGAATATAACTGTTGTTTTGCCGTTTGGCTGATGCTGTGAGAGGGATCTGACAGAGCCCCCCTGTCCCAGGTGACGGATTACGCCATCGCCAGGCGCATCGTGGACCTGCATTCCAGAGTGGAAGAGTCTGTGGATCGTGTCTATTCCTTGGATGACATCAGAAGGTATCTGCTGTTCGCCAGGCAGTTCAAACCAAAGGTAATTCCACTTTTCCTGTGTAAGTTGCTCTGTCTGAGGAGGTCCAAGGGAACAGTCACTCTGCAGTGTGCTCGTTTCCAGCAAACACAAAGACACTTAGTGTGGGGTTCTCTCAAGGAAATAGCTATAAACTCACTCACTACCTGGAAACAGAGCGTGTTTTGGAGCCATGTACTCTTTTGAGCTCCAGAAAACCATCCAGCTCAGCTGAGACTGTTGTAATCATTAGTCTTAACTGCTTTGGTGGCAGCTCCTAACCTCTGTCTAGAATGAGGGCTCATTTTATAGCTTTTTCATACCTCAAGGGCATGGGTCGTTCAGCATGGCTGAAGCAGAGGTTTTTGTATTTTATTGACTTATTGCTTGATCAGCTTGTTTGCCTTTATTTTAAAAGGGTATTGTTCCTTGGTATTTCTTTGCTTGCCTTTTGGTTAAATACAGAACCTGGGAAAGTGCCCTAAGAACAGATATTTTGGTAGTAGCAGTTTGGATGGGCTGTGTGTCAGATTTTTCAGAAGTCTGTAAACAGAGAACAATCTGATACGGACAGACATGACCTGTGCCCAGAAACAAGTCAGCAGAACAGAAAAATAGAAATTATCAACATTATTTGCTGCAAAATGATTAATGCAGCCGTGTGCTTATTGCACTATCATTATCCTTGGTGAATGTAATCATTATTACAGTTTAATTTTAACATAATATGATTGTTCTGTCTATGCACGGTATGTGTATAGCGTGGAATATTTCAGAGAAAAGCAGCAGCAAGTACAGGAAAGTCTGGGAATTGCCAATCTAATGCAAGAAGAATAAACTTTTAATAACCTGAACATGCAAACTGTCACACTGCTTGATGTCCCAAAGATATCCAAGGAGTCTGAGGACTTCATAGTGGAGCAGTACAAGCGGCTGCGGCAGCGCGACGGGGCCGGGGTGACCAAGTCGTCGTGGAGGATCACGGTGCGGCAGCTGGAGAGCATGATCCGCCTGTCCGAGGCCATGGCCCGCATGCACTGCTGTGACGAGGTACCAGGGCCTGGGGGGACTCCACGGGAGTGTGTGGGAGCTCTGGCTCTGCTCTTTGACTCTCAGATTGACCGCAGTCCCGTGGGTGAGCAGCAGAGCTCGGGTCACGTTTGCGCTTGTGGTGACAGTCAGGGTGAATTTGTGTGCCGGAAACACTGGGTTTAAGGTGTGTCTTTGATACAAACTGAGAACATGCATGTTTTTGCATCACAGTTGTGTCAGCACTCTCAGCCTGTTATCTGTCAGATCATGACAGAGGGGAAGAACAATCATCCACTACTACCCTTCATGACTGTTGGTAGTGTCTTTCCTGATCTTTCATAGTTTGTAATCTCTCAGCTCTCTTCCATCTGCAGTCTAAAAAGACAAAGTTCATCAAAGTATCTGAACCTCCCCAAGAGTCCCACATATGTGATCTGAGCTCCTCCTGACATCAGCCAGTGCTGCAATGCCTGTTGTGTTCTGGCTGTTAACTGTGGCGTGACTGCTGCCCATCCCAGTCCCTGCTTTAAAACCCAGCAGGCCTTTTGAAACGTTGATGAGGGGTTATGTGACACATGCAGGGATGGAACCTTGCTCACTGGCTGGGTAAGGAGGACACCCATTGGGTTCTTTTAAATTAAATTCAGCTCATAAAGGAACAGATAGCTTTTAGCTTATGGCTCAGCTAGCGAGGATTTTTCCAGTTTTTGCTTTTCAGTTCTGGAGGAGAGTCTCATTAGGCCCATTTCTTTCATGTTTCTTGCTCCACTGATCTTTCTTACGACTGTTCTTGGCTCAAATAAATTTTTTATTGACTCCACATGATCACTAAATCCTGAAAGATTAATCAGGCAGCTTTTTCCCTCCATAACCTTGTGTGACCTCAGCATACTTGTACTGGGATATAATTTAACTTGCAGAGTCTTTACTGCCGAGGATTAATCAGGTGAGATGAGTAGAAAAACCCTGTGTCAGAGTCAGAGATGAGTTGCTGGAGCTGTTGAGAAACCAGGAGAGATGTTTAGTGCATATTAACCTGTTTAATGCACGTGTTTTCAAATCTTCCTCAGGTTCACCCAAAACACGTGAAGGAAGCTTTCAGGCTTTTAAATAAGTCCATCATTAGAGTTGAGACTCCTGATGTCAATTTAGACCAAGATGATGAGCAGCAAATGGAGGATCAAGAGGACCAAGATGGAGTCAATGGTATGTCACTTAGAGAGAATTTTTTCAAAGGGGAAAGTCCTTCCAACCTTTACAGCTTGCCTTTTTGAGCACATACTTCTCTTCTGTCTCTCACCTGTTCCTCATCTAATGAAGTCTGGAAAGGTGGACTCCTGTTCTTAACTCTCTTGCTTCTTCAGCCTTCCTCACCACCTCCCCTGGTTGGTCAGTGCAGCATTTTTCAGTGGCTCAGAGTATTAAACAGGCAAGAGATGTTTCAGCTTTAAACCTGGGCATGTGTCCAAACAGGTGAGGCAGAGGCTCCAGCTGGGGTCAATGGCCTTGTGAATGGGCTCAATGGCCATCCTGAGGATGGGAACAAGGATGCTGCACCCAAAGCTTCTCTTAGATTGGGCTTCTCTGAGTACAGACGGATTTCCAACCTGCTGGTGCTGCACCTCAGGAAAGCAGAGGAAGGTAAGGGTTTGTTTGTTAGAATGACAGCAGGCCCTGAGCTCAGGGAGTGATTGTCATGATTGTCACTGCATCTCATGCTGTTGCCTGGGGGATTTTCACTCCTGTTGAGCCAACAAACGTGTCAGCTCTGGTGTGGAACCTGTGCTTGTGTGAGAGAACGACATCTGGTGATACAAAGATGATTTCTTGGAGTTTTTACCTCTGTTATTTTAGTCATTTGTCTAAACCCATTGAGCTGAGAAGCGTGTCAACAGAGCAGGCCCAGAAAAGGACTTGCAGCTGAAGGCTGATGTGATTTGGAAGACACTTGGGTGCATAGAACTGAAAGCTTCAATTCCCAGTCTAATTATGGCCTATTAAACCATGATTTGACAGCCTCCCGTGCAAAACATGATGCTTTAAGGATCAGAATAAAGTCTGGTGATGCTTAAACATGTTAAAGCCTGTTTCTCTGTTAGCATTTTCTCCTGTGGTTTAACTGGTATCTTACTGCTGCTGAGTTCATGCAAATTATTTTCTTTGCAGAAGAGGACGATTTGTCATTAAAGAAAAGTGAACTTATTAACTGGTATCTAAAGGAAATTGAATCTGAAATTGATTCTGAAGAAGAACTAATAAATAAAAAGAAGATCATAGAGAGGGTCATTCACCGACTCACCCATTATGTGAGTACAGAGATGTGGGGGCAGTGAGAAGGGGTTTGACTTGCACAGGGCAGTGTTTCATGTTCAATAGAATACATTCCTAATGGGAGAAACCTGCTCTGTGTTTCCATGTTACACCCTGATGCAGTATAAATGCCTTCTTTGCTTAACACCTGTTGCAATAATTATAGAAAAAACACTGAAATAAGTTAGACATGTGTGTAATTAAAGGTCTAAAGTGCCATATTATGTCCCTAGAGAAGTGTGATTTTTTTCTGTGTTTCTATAGTACTAGCTATGCATTAGGATTCAGAAGTACAAGTAACGCTTCCTTCAATGGGTAGCCTTAAGTCATGGGGGTAGTGGGGTATTTTGGAGGAAAAAGTATGAAAATATAAACTACTTTTCACTTTTAAAGGTGCAAACCCACTAGATTGGAAAGCACTAGGCTAAAAAGTTTCCAGCAAGCACATAACATATGAGATTTCAACATAAAAGAGATTTCCACTGCAGGTAATTGTTAGAGGGAGTTCACAATTAAAAGGGTTAAGTAGTTAATAAGAGGTGCTACCAGGATAAAAAAGAGATGCCTTTCAAAAACTACAGACAAACCTCTCTGCCCTTGTTTTAACACAAGTCTTTGTGTGTTGCAGGACCACATTCTGATAGAACTGTCCCAGTCTGGACTGAGAGGATCCAGAGAAGAGGAGACTTTTGATGAAGATCCATTCCTGGTTGTCAATCCCAACTATCTGCTGGAAGACTGAGGGCTGGGAGCTGAGTGCTTACAAGCTGGAAAAGGCATTCTTTTCTTGCAGGGGTTGCTGTACAGCTGACTCCCTGAATTCCCATGGATGTGCCAGTGTGTGGTCAGTAAAATGGGATTGCTCATTCACACTGAGAATACATGGAAAGTTGTTAAATTTATATATTGGTTTCATTATTAATTCTGACTTTCAGTGCTGTCTTCTGGATGCAGAAGAAAATCACCCAATGGCTTTTTTTTTCATCAAACTATTTTAGGTGCTTCTGTTTTAAATGAGAGGAATTGTTCTGTGTCACTTAGTAGACTTTTTATGGTATATGTTTTTATTGTTCTTCTTATTAACACGAATAAAAGCTCGTTAAGTGCCTGGGGGTGGATTGCTGTTACTCACATGTGGGATTGCTGTTTTTCCATGCCTGTGCTTTGAGGCTGAAAAAGTAGTGATCTAAAGATTAAATTTCCTGGATGACAGATGCTGCTTTTTAGGAAGTGTTTTTTTTTTTTTTTTTTAAACTTCCAGTAATGGATAGTGAGAAACTGATTGCTCCTCTTTCTTTTTAGATGGACTAAAGATGTGCATGGTCCTGTTGCATATGTAAAGTAGAAAATTGAAAACAATAGCCAAGCCTGATGCGAGGTTTAAAGTCAGGAGGGCAGAAACCCCCATCTTGAATGTCTTGGCCTGTAAGTTGAAAACTGCCACCATTTGTGAGGGATTTTTTAAGTTTATATTTGTAAACCTGGTTTTAGATGTTTTTATAAGAAAGCTTCACTTAAATTTCTGCTGTTCTCAGTTTTTTACTGTAAACTATGGGATTATTAAATAATTCGATTAAGAATTAAAAATACCTGGATATTTGTCTTGTCAGCTTGATACCAGCAGCTAAGAAAATTTGTAATAGAATCAAAAGACACCAAAGCTATACCTTTTAATTAGAAATAGTGGGAAACACCTGTCTCAGGTTCACAAGTGGAGGTGGTTTGTAAGGTGTTTTCCCTGTTAGACTCTCCCAGCTCTGGGGAGATTTGCCTTGGTCTAAACTAAGCATGTCACTAAAGATAACAGTTATATTTAAGGATTGGAGACTGTCATAAATGTCTGTAACCAACAACAACACTGCCACATCACCGGGCCCTGACTCCAACTGCAGGAATTTCTTTCATAAACCACTTCTAGGCAAATGCTCCATTTCACTGAGCATTGCCACCCACCTGCAACAAGAGTTTCATGTCATTCTGTATTGTCCCTTTCCTTTCAAAATAAGGACAGCAAAATTTATGTACTTGGTTATGTGTTTCCCTCTCCCCTCCTTCAGTCTTTCTTTGATAATAAATATTCTTCACGTAGGAGGAAGCATTTTTTTTTCTGCTTCTCTTTCCCCAGTTCTGTAGCCTGGGAAGGGAGTTCTCTCTCTGAGTTCTGAAAAACAAGCACCAGGTGGTGCTGTAAAGTTGCTGTTCAAACTTGTTACTCAAACACTGAGGTGGAGGGAAGAAGGTTCATAGTTCTTCAGAACAGTCAGCACAATGTTACAGCTCTCGCTTTTTTTTTTTATTTCCTGGAGAAAATAAAAATGATCTGGGAATCGAACAGGGTCAAAGTACATAAATTACAATCCTTGAATAAGCCTGGCTATTTGAGTAACAGCAAACGTTGAGAGATAATTTATTACTGAAAGAAAAAATTGCTTGACACAGCAGTAACTTACCCAGATGATTCCAGGTGTGTTTTAGATAAACTGCTGATTGTTAAAGGAAAACAACTCTGAGGTGGATGTGACGTTTCAATATAAATATGCAGAATTCTGTGTTCAGTTGATTTGATGTGTTCTGTGTTTAGGCAGTAAATGTTCTCAGCTCTGCAGTATTTGAATGGAGCAAAGCTGAGTTACCTTTTCCCTGCAGCAGTTGAGGTGATCTGGGTGTACCCACCCTGCTGGGAGAGCCTGTGTTTTTAAGGGTTAAACAACAGAATGACGTTCAAATTCCTGGATGTTGTTGGGCATGAGGGATCTCATTGTTATTGTTGTGGTTGCTGCCTGAACTGTCACTGACAGCCACTTTTCCAGCCGGCTGAGATGCCACATCTCAGGTTTCCTTTCTGCACCCAAGAATTAAGAGTACAAAAGTGCCTCTGCTGTCCTGCACACCCTGGGCCATGGTGGACCCACCTCCAGCAGTGCAGGTCACTCTGCTCTGCTTGTTTTCTGCATCCAGAGCTGTGCTGGGATTCCTCATAAGCCAAAAAAAAAAAAAGCTAAAAGGAGAGGGAAACTATCATTACTTATTTTATCTTCCTCTGAAACAGAGTATTATCAGCAAAATGTCAATTGATATTCCAAGTCCAAGGGGGAACCTGAGCACCTCAGAAACTGTTTTCACACGACCTTTCTCCAGCTAGTTGCTTTGACAGGGCTTTTTGGGTTCATCCATCTGTCTGTTCGTCTACTGATTAAAAATCCTGGTCTGTTATGATTCCAGTGTCAGCTGGTTCCAGGAACATTTATCTGTGTAACAGATAATTCCTGTTAAATATTACTTTTACTGTCATATAAGTAGTGTGGAATTGCCGTTTCTGAAGCAGGCTCAGAAATGGAGCTGATTTGCACGACATTCATCTTCTTTCTGCTGGTCTCTCCCAGCCTTGGGATAGATGGGGAATTTGCCGGGAATTTTATCTCCATTGCTGGGCCTCTGCCCGGTGAGCTGGCAAATAAATTGGGTCTGAGGGACCAGGTGCTGCCCCAGGAGGATCAGGGCCCTGCCGTGGCTGAAGCGGATGGTTTCCTGTGCCAGCGAGGCCTCGTGGCTTCCGAGCTGCCCCGCTACTTCTCACACCTTCGGGAGGTGGGGGTGACACACTACAAGGTGTTCCTGCCCTGGTCGCGCCTCCTTCCCGTGGGGAATGCCGGGGAGCCGGCTGAGGCTCAGGTGCAGTGCCACAGGGAGCTGCTGCAGGCCCTGCTTGCTGCAGAGCTCAGCCCCGTGGTGATCCTGCTCCACCGGCGCGTCCCCGGCGCCGTGGCCGCGCGGGCCGCAGGGAGGGGAGCCCGTGCTTTCGGCAGCCTTTTCGTGGAGTATGCGGAGTTCTGCCTCAGCGCTTTTGGGGACCTGGTGGATGTGTGGGTCACCTTCAGCGACCTGCAGGAGGTCCTGCACAGCCTGCCTTACCCTGACCCCCAGGACAGAGCCCAGGCCGTGGCTGCCGCCCACGAAGGATTCTCCACCATCTTCCGCAAGAAGCACTCCCGGGCGGGTAAGGAGAGAGGGGACAGGGATGTGTCCAGTATGACTCACAAGTATATTGGGATGGGATTGAGTGGCAACTGCCATGTGCAGTCTCTGTATTTTTGTGTACCTCTTCCTGACCCACAGAGGAAAGACCAAAAAGTGCCTGAAATGTGCAGGGAACCGTGAAAAAACAAGACCCAAGAAGTCGATGAGATAATGATAGTGTAGGGGAAACCTGCAGTGTCCTCGGGTTGACTTTCCTCAGTGGAGAAACTGGGGTTTTACAGTAATTAAATCTAAAATCTACCTGTGTTACACACAGCAACAGAATTCCACCTGTTCCATGGTGGGTAGTTGGGATTTTCCAAGCAGCTGTCCCCTGGGGTCTGCCTTCTCTGGCCTTGGAATTTTTCTGTCTCAAACAGACAACCGGTTGAGCTGAGTCAATGTTTCTTTATCCACATTTTTAATGAATGAATTTATATTTAATCCTTGCATTTGTCAGGAATACTTTGCTGTACAGTTCACACTATCTGGCGATAGCCCTTAGAAGTTGCCCAGCTTCTCTCCTGCATCTCCTGTCCCCCCAGGCTCCTGTTGCTCCCTCAGCATCTCAGAAGCATTCAGCACAGAATGCATTTTAAAATATAACCCCTATAGAACCACCACAAAGGCATGAAAATTAAAGATACTGCTTGTAATTATGCAGAGAGTGAAAGGGCACAATTTATTGAGAAAGGCTTCTTGAATTCTGCCTTTTGAGCTTCTGCCTTCTGCAGCTCTCCACTGAAATCCCGGTGGGAATTCTGAAATCCCCCACCCCGGACATCGTCTGCTGTTCCACAGCTGCAAAAATTGAACACTCATTTTAAAATAACTGCAGGAAACTGAAGGTTTTATTTGTCCTTAATGTGTTACTAACGGACTGCCTCTTTTTTCTTTCAAGGTGGGAAGCTGTCCATTGTTTTAGAAATGGGCAGTGTTTTGGACAGTGCTTCAAAACTGATTTCAGGTTCTCTTCAGGTAACTTCCAAAATTATATAAATTTGAACTGATTTAACTTGATTTTTGTCTACGGGATCAAGTGACTTTTTGCAAGTTTGTAGGGTTTTTTTAAAGTTTTTTAAGATTTTTTTTAAATTTCGGGGGTTTTTAAAAAGATTTTTAGCAAGCTGACCAATTAACCGGTTTGGTAAGTTTTACTTATTTCATTAGTCTAATTACGTGAAGCTAGCTAATTGAAAAAAAATTCCTTCAGCATCTTTTCTTGGCTGGTAATCACTGGTTAAGACAGATGGAGACATGTTTACTCTCATAATTGGCAATTCTAGCAATGACAAGGTGTCTCCCAAAAGCATACCTGTCATCATTTGCTTTGCACCCCTACTTGATGCACACCAAACAGATGAATACTTCATTTTAAATAACTGCTATTTAAAAAGAAAAAAAATCTGCTGATTATGTCACAACACAGCCTGAGCTGTGCTGGGAGTGCTGTAGTTGCACAGGGAAGGCACAACATGAGGAGAAATTAATCTCTGCAAAGACAGTGAAACCCTTTCTGGAAGATCAAGTTCTCTGCTCACGTTCCCCCAGAGGATGTCGATGAGAACAAATGACAGTGCAGGTTTTTTGCTGCATTCATAACCCTGCAAGGATTTGAGCAAGGGGTGGTTTGTAGGGAGAGAGCAGAAGTTGCATTCCACGCACTGACTAAACTAGAAGAGAACCTTGGACTGAAAAAGAAACTGAAAAGTTAGCAGTTTTCTTCCAGTTTCATCAGCTGGTGTAATAAGGAAATGCAATCTCTTCCCTTGAGCTTGATGAGTTCTAGGGGGACAACTTTTGTGGCTTGGAAGGATCAAAGATTTCTGAAGTGAACTTTCCCCAAAGGGTTATTGATAAGGCCTGACCCACACAGTTGCAAAGGTTTCTCTGATTAACCATAGGCAGTCTTACTAATTAAGAAAATAACTCTAAGCCATTGATATTAAATTCATAAAATAATCCTAGAATTTAATTTAGCTGTTTGAATTTTACTTTGCTTAGAAGGAGACATACAAAACGCATCTTCCCACACGGTATCCAGTTTAGGCTCATTATGTTGTCCACGGCTCCCATGGAGCTGAATGGCTTCTTACTCCAGCAATGTGTCTTTCTCAAACCTTTCACAATTTTATGTATTTTTAGTGTAATACCTGCAAAAAAAAAAAAAATTTACTCCATGATGATTCTTTTCCTTTCCTTTTTCCCAGGATTCAGTAGACTTCCTGTCTCTCAGCCTTCAGTACCAGTGTGGAAATGAAACAGATTTCTACCAGAAGTTAGATGAATTCCAGGTAACATTATGCACAGGGTTAAAATGAGAGCAGCAGCCAACAGACCATAAATAGAGGTGGCATTTCATGTTCCTTGATACATCTGAACAGTCCTGATTGTCTGGGAGGGCTCAGACAGCAGCTCCACTGGGAAGCAGCTGCATGGTGCTCACTTGCTTCTCTGTTCTTATCCTGGCTTAAAAACACGTGTTGGAAAGTGCTGGAAAAGATCATCTTGGTCTTACTGATGCATTTATGACTGGAATGGCAGAATTCTTCTGTCCAGAAAACTTCCATTCTTCAATTCTACATAACAAGAGTCATCCAGTATCTGGGCAGCAGAATGAGGAGCTGCCCATGTAGAATGCAGCAAATGCCAAGAGCCTGTTTTTAGGAGCTGCCTGATGATGCTTTTCATGCTGGTCCCTGACTTCTGGTTTTGCAGAGTGTCTGGAACGACATGGACATCTTGGTTTTTAGTCTGAAGTTCCTTGACTGTGCTCCCATGGAAGAGAATGCTTTCATACCAGCAGCTGCCATTGTCACAGGTAAGTGGTGTTTCAAGAAGGAGGAGAGTTGTTTAGCTGAGATCTGCATGATAAATCACAGAGGAAGTTCACAATTGCCCAATTTAGGCTGCAGCTATTAGATGAAATAACTTTGTGGGTTTCCATAGCCTGCTTGGGAAGTTAAGGATGGGTGGTGAGTGTCAAGGGAGAGCAAGCAGGAAATTTCCCCCAACGCTTTTCGTAATTTTCATCAGCCACAGGTTGTGACCTGAGAGGTTTAGGCTGGATA